ATGGATGGACAGATTGGTGGATGGATGGATGAATGATTGATGAATGAATGAATGGACGGATGGATATATGGACAGATTGGTGGATGGATGGAAGGATGAATGGACGGAGGATGGATGGATGGATGGACAGTTTGGTGGATGGATGGTTGATGGATGGATGGATGGATGGATGGATAGATTAACAGACAGATTAACAGACAGATTAATAGACAGATTAATGCACAGATTAATAGACAGATTAACAGACAGATTAACAGACAGATTAACAGACAGATTAATGCACAGATTAACAGACAGATTAACAGACAGATTAACAGACAGATTAATGCACAGATTAACAGACAGATTAACAGACAGATTAACAGACAGATTAACGGACAGATTAACAGACAGATTAACAGACAGATGAAAGAGTAAACTGCTCCTCACCTGGATGTAGAAGGTCCTGGAAGAGGTGACCATCTCAAACAGGTTGTCTCTCATCATCAAGTCGCTGCAGAACAACAACAGACCAGGTTTTACTCCATCTGGACCAAMCAAAGACCAGGTTCTGGTCCTGCTGCTGACCCACCTCTGTTTGCACTCCTGGACCTTCTGGATCTCCTTCAGTGAGATGACTCTCAGCGCCTCACGGTCCTAAAYAGAAACAGAAATCTGCTTGTAGATCACTTCCTGGTTTCATTTTCTTCCCTTCGACTCAAACGTTCAGATAATCTGAATAAAACTCAACATCTGTAAATCTGTAAACATCACTGGTTCAAACAGAAAAGAAACATTCTCMGTTCATCTAAAAATAAATAACACAGCTGACTGACAAAATGTATCACACACTGACTTTATAAATATTTACCGGTATAAATTTTCTGTTGAGCAGTGATGACTCTTCAATAAATTTTCACAGATTACAGCTGCACACACACACACGTGCACCTTTGTTCTTCTATCCTCATGGGGACTTCRCATTGACTTCTATTCATTTATTTACTGATTGTTTCTATAGCCTAACCCCGACCTCTTACCCACCAATGGCCTTTCTTCTATGGGATAAATCTTGTGCCAGCAGGAAGTGAATTTGAATTGCTCAGATTGAATCTGAATGTTCATAATTTGAAATTGAATGCACTGGTTTGAAAATGACTTTTACTAAATTGAAACTGAATTTAAAGTTTTGTATCTGAATTAATTTGCTTTGAAACTGTATTTTGGTTCATTAAAAATTCAGTTTGACTACTTTCACTTTTAGTTTGAAAAATTCAGATTTTTGTGTCACATCCTGGTCCTTGAGAAAGCCAGGCAGAGTAATCAAACACAGATCCACAGATTTACGTTTCACTTTGGTGAAGTTTCCCTTCTGTATGTAACAGAGTTGATAATCCAGCATAAAAGTGACAAAAACAGACAAATTTATTTTATTGCAGTGAATAATTTGACCTATATGTAGAA